CGTAGGCCTGCTTCGTGGATGCAAATGTCCGTCTCCAAAGCTCTATGAAGTAATCAGACGAGAAACCGACGAGAAACCTCTTGGTCAAAAGGCCCTCTGGTAGGAGTGTCTCATCGCAAATGAGGTGGGCATCTTGAAACACAGGGATGTGACGCTCCAGGCCTGTTGGTGCGGAGGACCCGGGCCATCGGGTCTGGGTGACCCTATTTAAGACGTCGGTCGCGTTGTGTCGAGCACCATAGCGCTCCTCAAGGAAGGCGGTGAAGTCCGTGAAAGCGGGAGCCTCACCTGTGCGAGTACGATAGGTATAATAACTCTCCCATGTGGTGAGAGCGTTGCCTTACAATTTAGATACGAGCAGAGAGAACCACAACTTCTGATTAGAGTTCGTTAGTGCCAGTGCGTGTGTGGCTGCCTGGAACCAATGCGACACGCACAGTGTGTGATCGTACTCGGGTATATCCGTAGGCGCACAAGGGGGGAACCGCAATGTTGACGGTGAGGGGAGAGGGGCTGAGGGGCCTGCACTGCGATAACAAAAGTTGGGGCCGGTGTAGGGGTGGAGGTGAAGACAAGTTGTGGGCCGTGGCTGTTGGTGGAAGGTCCAACAAAGGTGGAGGCAATGGCCGCAGGCAGCTGTGACGGAGTGGCGAGGTAGGAGGGTAGAGGCGGAGGAGCAAGTCGAGGGAAAAGGGAGCCTACAAGACCGAAGTGGAAGGGGCAGTGAAGGAAGATGAAGAGTGAGCAACCTATAACGGGTGACGCTGTCTCAGGGTGAGTATGTTCGCCTGGAGCTGCGCCACGGTGGCCTGCAAGGTAGCCACTCGCTAGGTGCACGGGGTCGAAGGTGGAGGAGTCGGATAGGGTACCCTAACGGTGGGAGGAGTAACGAACTGTAGGGAGCCCTGAGGTGGGAGTGAGGGGATAAGAGGAAGGAGGGCTCCAGACCGTAGTGCAACGACCGGTGTGAGAAGCTGGGAAGCAACACCAGGATGGGTAGAAGAATCTGTCTGGCCAAATACCGGTATCTGGGCGGCAACACCTACGACAATCATCGAGTGGCAGGGGCGACGGGGGCCGATGCATATGCCGCAACATACGATATGGTCTGAGTGGCAGCGACACTAACCATTGCGGAGGGGGCGAACTGGGTCTGACCCACGGGGGAAGAGGAACCACCACGTCTCCATGTCTGGAGTCGTGGGGAACCGGAGTGGGAGCTGGTAGGGGACTGAGTGTGAGAGCGGTGGCAGAAACGATGGGGAGATCCCTTGAGGCGGTTGACGTCAAGGGCGAGCGCATTGAGTTGCGCCTGTATGGGTCCAAGCACATCGAGGCGCTGCGCTTGCATTGGTGCGAGGAAGGCCGCGAGGACGGTCTCAAGATCCATTGGGCCTGATCGAGAGTTGTTGGCTGAATTGGTGCCTGAGAGATTGATGGTGCTGCAACAATCTCCTCGGATGTACTCTCGTCTATGAACGGTGGATGAATGGGAGTAGACATGGCGGGAGGTGGAGAAGGAGGTGGGGAAAGAGATGGGCTGGTGTGTGGAGAAAGAGGCCCACGAGTGAGAGGGAGGAGACCACTAGAGCGGAGTGGGTAGTCATGAGTTGGCACCCTCCGTGACCAGCGGGTTACACGTGCGGAGGGGACCACAAGAGCGGAGTGGGTAGTCGTGAGTTGGCGCGCTCCATGACCAGCGGGGCACACGTGCGAGGGTGGCACAAAGCCGGTCAAGGGGAGAGGATTCATTCAGATCCAGGGTGCCCAAAGGGAGGAGGCAGGAGAGGAGGGGGTTTAGGAGGACCCTAAGACTTAGAGAAACCCTAAGAAAACCCTAACTGTGATGACCCGTCCATACATGGACTGATGTGGCCCCGTCAAGGCACTTGCTCGTTCGTTGGGCCCTCGGGGCCGGTACTTACCTGTGGCCGTGACATTGAGGGGTTGCAGCGGGGAAAACACTCAAGTAGCAGGTAGGCCGGTACCGCACCTAGAAGGGGTAGATGTGCAGGTACCGGAGGCCGAGCAGAAGAAGACAAAAAGTGGCATTTTTAGAGGCCTAGTAGTTGTATGTTAGGTCTAGGCAGATATCAGTCCAACCAGTCTGGGTCTAGGGCCTGTACGACCAATATCAGAGTTTGCAATGATGTTTCTCTCCGAAAGGGAGGAGGTACCGGTTGCTTGGGAGGCCGAGCGGCCTGAAAGTCACCGCCCAAGAGGCAAAGCAGGCCGCTATATGTTCTGGCCGGGCAGAGAGTCCGACCTCTTTTTCCCTGTGCAAGTTTGGCGACACACTGGTGGAGCGCTGGCTCGAGCAGCGCTAAGCTGGAGCAGCACTGCTGGGGAGGAAGGAGAAGGACACGAGGGAGGAAGAAGGAAGGAAGGGGGAGGAGCGTTAGGGGTACTTACCTGGCTATGGTGACGGCCATCTTCATCACCTTGGTGGGCGCCGCAACAGGGAGTCCCCAACTGGGGAGGAGCCACACCAAGAAGCTTCAAGGCAGGGTTGGGCATGGCGGCCTGAGCTAGAGCAGCCATAGCTGCTTTGGGTTGTCCTTTGGGCATCTGGGCAAGGCCTAGTAGTCCGCCATAGCCTCGGCCTATGAGAGTGAAGAGTGGGAGAGGCGGCCATTGCTATGGTGGACCTCAAGTGATACTTGCAGTAGAAGAGGAACTCGGACTTCGATTCTGGATCAGCCATTCAACATTGTATTATTATTTCTTGTATGAATAAGAGAAGGGGGAGATAAGGAGGAGGAGTTTGTGGGGCAAAGAAGAAGAGCCTTGTCATTGGTCTTTGCTGGTGTACATCATCTTCTTCTTTCTTCTTACTTCTTCTTCTTCTTCTAACCTCTCTCTCTCCTCTTAAGTTCATTCATTTGTTTCTGCACTTAGATGGCATTGTACTTTCCAATGGATGTGTATCTCAAAATTGGCCAGGGTCATAACATAACCCAAGTTTGGGGGCTTAGGGTAGAGTAGCGGCGATCTAATCAAGAAAAGAAAATAACAACCATGGAGGGGAAGGGGAAAGAAAAATAAATAAATAGTGAAATTTCAAGATTGAAAAAAAGATAATAAAAAAAAAAAAAAAAAAAAAAAAAAAAAAAAGAGGAGTGAAAAAAAAAAAACTTTATAGGAATTTTCGTCACCATTTCCCTACCCC